CTTAAGGGAGAAGAAGCTCACCACCTGGTGGGAGGATGGGGAATGGCGCCGGGTCAGGGCCCAGAGCCCAGTGAGCCCACTTGACCCCAGATCCGATATCCTAGAGCAGCTGGTGAGCAAAACATCAGGAAGGGATGGCCTGGATCACACCGTATCATGACAGAAGCAAAGTTGAATGGAGGTAGAGACAAAATGAATACAGGGGAAGGGACTGACTCAGAGAAAGGTCAAGGGAGCAAAGCCTTGGGTCCAGAAGGAGAGGAGCAGAGGTGGTACAGTAAACCTGAAGAAAGAAAAATTCAGGAATAGGGACCACTTAGGGATGCAAAAAAGCTGGGGTGGTGGGGTGAGCTCTCTGGGGTTTCTACCCAGGAGAGCTCAGAGACCCTGTGATATCCAGAGGGAATTAGAGAATGGAAAATGGAGCTCAGCTGCTGGATAATAGATCTGGGGGGCTGAATAGTGGGGCTCAGGAGAGATGATGGTGCTGCTGGAGGATAGGTAGTGGGGCTGAAGGATGAATGGACAATGGAGTCGAGTAGTGGGAACTGGAAAACATGATAGAGCTGGGGGTAATGGGAACTGGAAGATGGATGATAGAGATGGGGGCCCACAAATAGAGTGGGGATAGGTAGAGGAAAGGAAGATGGATGGTGGAATTGGAGGGCAGGTGATCGTGCTGGGGCTGGTTCAGGGAGAACAGGAGGGGGGACCCCAATCTCACCAAGATGGGCACCCCTGTGAGTGAGTCATAGAGAAAGACGATGGCGCTGACCAAGTTGGTGACCTGCAGGGATGTCTTGGCAGACTCGGAGCCATCCAGCGAGGACCGCCGCTTCCCTCGGGCATCTTCCACCACAATGGCTGGCACCTCAAAGGCTGGCCGTGTACCCAAGCCCCCTGGCCCACTCCCCTTGGCCCCACCCCCAATCCCTGCTCTTCGGGCCTGCCTAGCCCTCCGGGGTCTGGCCCACAGTGTCTGGTAGAAGGTAATGGCCACACAGACCAGCCCCATGACAATGCCCCCAAGTAGCAAGAGGCTGAAGCAGACGCCAAAGCCAAGGCCAATCTTGGAGACTATGAACTGGCAGCCTCGGGCATAGTAGCGCTCACCGTTGTTGTGCCAGCCAATGGAGGGCAATGTGGAGAGGATGAAGCTGACCATCCAGATGCCCATGACAGCATGCAATGCCTGCTTCTTGGCATTGCTGAGGCGATAGTTGACAGGCCAACGCACCATCCACATGCGATGGTAGGAGAGTGAGGCGACTGTGAAGCAGGTGGCCAGGGCCAATGTGTAGTAGGTGGACACAAAGACCTTGCAGATGCTTTCATTCCAGTCATAGTCAGAGGAAGCCTGGCGCCTCAGCTGCACCACAGCGAAGGTAGTGAGGGGCACAGCCGCCATGAGTATGTGTGTGCCGGCCAGGAAGCAGAGCAGCAACTCTAGTGGCTTGTGCTTCTGCTGCTTGGCAGAGATGCTGAGAATGATCCAGGCATTGGCCAGCAGGGCCAGGAGCCCACAAGCCAGCCAGGACAATGCGTTTGAGCGCAGGGAGGCCTCTTCTGCCCCTGCCCCACCCAGAGCCATTCTGTCCTCAGCCCCCCACCCCCTTTGAACTCCTGGGGGTGGGGGGTAGGTCTCACCCAGGAGCTCCACTCACACACAGCCCCATGATGCCCACAGTCCTTTCCCTGCAGTGAGGCAGGCAGCCCCTAGGCCCACCCTAATGCTCAGCATTGCATAACTGACCCAGCTAAGGTCAGTTGTGGAGGTCAGGGGAGGAGATTGGGGCTCAGCAGAGGTGGTCCTCAGCCTCCATACTGGGTGGGACCCTTCTTGAAGTATCCCTGTAGTTGACTGGGGAGGCAAGCTGGCTGCTTTGCCAACTATGAGGCTGGCTGGGGAGCTCTGGCCCCCGTGCTAGGACTTGCAGATCTCTTCTTCTTCTGATTCTTGACCAGTCAGGTATCTTCTGGATGCCCCAACGGGTGTGGGGAGGCTCACCCACCTAGACAAACTGCAAGGGAGAAATAAAATGTGGAATGGGGAAGGTGAAGGTAGGGCCTAGACTGGTCTCCAACTGGCTTCTTGTGCTCCACTTCTCTTGAAACTATAGAGATGACTGACTACTAGGGGTTATGGGGTCATTCAGAACATTCTCCTGTCTTTTTTTTTTTTTTTTTCATTCCTCACCTGAGGACATTTTTGCATTTATCCTCAGATAGAGCAGGAGAAAAAAAGGGAGGAAGAGAGAGAGAGAACATCGATGTGAGAGAGACACATCGACTGGTTGCCACCCACATGATCCCAACGGGGGCCGGGGATGAACCACAACTATGGTACATGGCCTCAGCGGGAACCGAATCCCAGACTCTCTGGTCCACCGGCTAATGCTTTAACTACTGAGAAAAACCGGCCAGGGCCATTCTCCTGTCTTAAATCAGATGGCTAGTCAAACATCCCACACAAATAAGAGCCCTGTTTCCACACCTCCAGAAAAGAAGGTATTCCGACCTCCTGTCTCCCATCCTTTTTCAACCCTTTTTCCTCCCTTTGGCACTCAGGTTCCTTCTTCTCATATCCCCTGCTCAGTACTATCTTCATGCCCCAGAATCTCTCTTTAGAGCTATTGATGACAGATGCATAACTTGCTTTTTCCTGAGGGTTCACGGTAAACTGGGATGTGCTATTACAGCCCCTTGCCAAACTTCCAGGCTCCTGGAACCATGGTCTTGGTGCTCAGCCCCATTTCCCCACGTCTGCACTATCGCCTCCAGCTCACCAGGAATCTGGGAAGATGGGAGAAAAGAGGCTGGGACGGAGGGGAAACTAGGGAACCTGAAGGTGGGGAAACCTCTGACATCAGAAACATCCAGAAATGGAGAGAGGGGGGAACTAGGGGAAAGGAGGAGAGTTTTAGCAGAAGAGAAGGAAAGAGGATGCAAAGTGATAGTATCTGAATATAGAAGGAAAAAGCTCAGAGACCCCCTGGACAGGAGGCATTGGAGGGAGGAGATCTGGAGGGAGGGAGAGAGGCAGCAGGGAATAGGGAGGCTGAGAAGAAAAGCTCAATGATAAGGTGCTGATTCCCACCAGTAGACCTTGAGTCTTTCCTCCCCTGCCCCAACCTCAGTTTCCTTCTGGTGGGAGGGAAGATAATTCTGAATTTAATGACGCTGAGCTTTTAGTAAGCCCTGGGGAAGGGGCTAAGAGGAAATCAGGTGCAACCCCAACAGAGTGGAGGCAGGAAGAATGGGCATAATGACTTTGGGGTAAATGGGAGGAAAAATGGGGCATAGCAGTGGAAGGGTCTGTTTCCTGTGGAAGAACCTCAGACTCTTGCCCTCCTCAAGAGGTCCTAGTCCATCCCAACCTTTATCTTCTCTCTGGAGCCCAGTACACCCTAGTTGCCATGGCAATGGCCAGCCAGAGGGAGGTGGAGAGAATTGGTCAGGAGCGCCTCCCCCACTTTCCTCCCCGACAACCTCCGACCCCTTCCCACCCACCCCCACACAGGCCCAGCCGGTGGGCTCAGGAAGAAAGAAATGGGGAGTCAGAGAGGGAGGAAGACAGGAAGGATCTGAAGGACAGAGAGAAGGAGATGAAGGGCAGAGAAAAATCAGAGGAAGGTGGAATGGGGGGGTCTGGGGGACTCTAGGGCGGACATGGGGTCCTCGCCCTTCGGGGTGAAGGGTAAGGTCAGGCGGCTCTTCCCTCCAGTAGCCCACCGGGTTCGCCCGGGCAGAAACAGCAGGTGGCTGGGGAGGAGGGGCCGGTTGGAGCGAAGAGGAGGCAGCTGGGGGGCGGGGAAGAGAGGGGAGGAGACCGCGGGGGACTGGGCAGGGGTCGGCTTACCTCTGGCTGTGCCCAGCACTGCCATGGAGACCGCACTCCTGGTGCGGCTCGTCGGGCTCCCGCGGCCCGCCGGCTCCCGCTCGCCCGCCCTCTTCTTCCCTCCCCCTCCCCCACTCCGGGCCTCCCTCCCTCCCTCCCTCCCCTAGGTCCCAGCCTCTACGCTCAGCCGGCACGCGCTTCGTCTCGGCCCCCGGGGCACCCCCAGCCCCTGTCTCCCTGAGTCCTCCAGCCCGTAAGCCCCGCGTTGAGGACCTCAGGAAGGCTTTTCGGGGGAAGGGGGACGAGTGTAGGGCGGGGAACTGGACGGTGGTGACTTGCAGGAGGAGGGGCAAGGAAGGCGCGGAGAGGGAGGGGGCGAGGAGGATAGAGGGGAACCGACTTCATTGGTGAAATGGTTCCCGTCCTACCCCCACCCCATCCCGTTTTCAACAGAGCTCAAGCTCCAAGAGGCAGCTGGTGGTGTTCGGCGACTGAGGAGCTAGCTGTTCCAGGAGGAAGAAGCGTGTGTCACCGTGTGTCACTGTGTGTATCTGTGTAAGGCTGTAGCTCAGAGAGGCATGTGCTAGAGGCTGTGGGCAGTGAGGGGTGGTGGTGCTGAAGCTGGGCTGCTTGTGGGGAGTGGGTACACAGGTCTAAAAGGATGCAGGGACACACACACACACACCTCCTGGAACACAAACTCACACTTTTTTTGGAGATACACACAATTCGCACGCACACGTTAGTTTCTCGTGGTCCTTGCTCTCCACCACACACACACACACACACACACACACACGTGTGGAAAGAACACACTCACTCCTACAGACTCCCCCCACCTCAGTGCATCACACACGCGTGACTACAAAGTCTTAACCTCACACACCCTTTGAGGGTGGGTAGGTGGGTAATCACTCTCTAAAGAATTTTTCCCTCCCAGAAGAAACCTCATCTCCTTCCTGGGGCAAGCCTGACAACTTCTGCTCTGCATCTGACCCCACAGATCAGAAGATTCTGGGGCCCCAGAGAAGGGTCCACACATACACACACACACACACACACACGCACACACACACAAATTAAGAAGAGCATGTTATTTATAGTAAGTTTATTGTATTTTTCTGTCAGCTCAGGGAGTTAGGGATGGGGAGTGGGCAGGAATACAAAGCAAGCAGTGGGAGCTCTGGCAGCAATTGGGTGTTCTTGGAAAAGGCAAGCTGGAGGGAAAGGGGATGGGCATAGGGCGTGAGGGAAATGGTGAGAAAAGAATGGAAGGAGAGGAAGAGCAGGCTAGGGATCCTGAGAGAACTGAATCAAGATGACGAAGAATACTTGTCACCTTAATTCTCCTGTGTCCAGAGTGGTTTGGGGGAGGAATGAAGGAGCATGCAGGGCTGGGGGAGTGAGGCCCAACTCCATCATCCCTCACAGCAGGTCCTCTCAGTGGGTTCACTCTTAGGCCTGTGCCCCACCCCCACCCTCACCTCCTGTCAAATCTCACCTTCCAGAAGGTTCTGCACTGGATAAGTTGTGGGCACTGGGTAGTCTGCTCCCAGCCTGTGCTCTGATTAGGAGAGCTGAAGGCTTTGTCCTCTGGTAACGGGATTCTGCCTCCAGCAGGTGATGAAGGAAGGATTTTAGACAGGAAGGCCCTCCTCCATGTTCCTGACCTCTCCAAGGCAGGCTTCTGTGAATCCTAAGGTACATACTGAGCATTTGTGACTAGCCACATGCAGTGTGGTGTTTGTCCCTGTGTTCAAGAAACAGCAGTAGAACTAGGGATCAAGTAGCTTGGGCCATCCTTACCCCAGCACTTACTTGCTTTTTGACCTTGGGCAACCATATTACCTTTGTGACTTCCATTTCTGGTCTATAAACTGGAGGTGCTATTCTTGGTCCTGTCACTACCAGACTTGAATGATGTTTATAAGGTTTAAATAGACAAAGGATGTGAATCTGGCTTATAAACTGACTGTGCTTCTTGGGTGATAAGGAGTTGTGTCTGCACGAGTTTGATCTGTGGACTTGGGTGTGCATCAGAATGGAACAGTGGGGCCCTCAGGAGCCTTTAGATCTGGATCTGTCCTCGACTGGCTGTGTGATCTTGGACTACTCCCTGCCCTTTTTGGTCCCAAGGTCCTTTCCTGTAAAATGACAGTCCTGTGCTTCACCCAGCCTCACACTCCAGGCCAGGCAGGGCTTGTCCTGCACACTCTCCTGGGATCCAAGTGGGCAGTGAGGGAGAGAGTTGAGAAGAAATCAAAGAAGGGCTAGGGTTTGACTGGGGAAGCGGGGGTGTGAGTAAGCCTCTGGAAGAGGAAACCCAATGGCCAACTGTGGACAAGGAGAGCAGGAGATGCCAGAGGCGCTGGATCTGCTACATTCATCTGGTCTGCAGGCCTGGGAGCCCAACAGGAAACACAGGGTAGACAGCTGGGGAGGCTGCAAGTGAGAAGCTCCCCCTGGCCCGGAGCCTCAAATGAGATTACATGTCTTCTGGAACCGGCTGGAGGGAAAAAGAATAAGAGGAGCACGCTATTCCTCCCCAACTCCTTTGAGTTCTAGAACTTCCATGGCTCCTAGATCCCTCTTCCAGTATGGCGATGGCCTCTGGGCCACAGCTGCCCGCCAATCCTTCCGCCACCTTCTGCCTGCTTCCTACCTCCTCAGCCATCCCTCTGTGCCCTTCTCCCACTCCACCACCTTAGCCCCCATCTCCTCACCTCCACCTCCTCCCTCCGCATCCCCCCCTTCCCTCTCTTCTTTCGCCCCTCCTAGTGCTTCCATTCTTACCACCTCCCCCTCTCCTCCCCCCAGCTCCTTACTGGGGGCATTGGCAGGTCTTCTTCTCACTGAGGAGTCTCTTGATCTGAGACATCCGCTCTGCCTGGCGCTGTCCAAGAAGAATGAGGGGAGTTGTGAGGGTCCCAGGCCTCCAGAAGGGAGGTGCCCCTTGGAGGGGGGAGTGGGGAAAGCTGGGAGAGGAGAAGCAGATACTGTGGCTGAGGCCATCTGTCCCAGAGTTAACTCTCTGCTCCTTCCTGCCTCTTCCTCCGTGGGATCTGGGACAGAGCCCAGTCTGCAATAAGGGAACTCAGTGGTGGGCAGAGAGAAACAGAGCAGAAGCAGGTGACATAGACTGAACACCCTTGTTGCTATGGGGTGGGGAGGGACTCTGGGGAGGCTCACTCACCCTTCGGTGCCAGCATTTGACACAGCAGAACCCAGTGAAAATCAGAAAGACTCCTACTGCCCCCAGCACAATGCCCAGGAGCTTTGGCCAGGCCTGGGTTAATGGTAGGTGCAAAACTGCAAGAGAGAGAGAGAGGTGTGTTCAGCTCATTACCTTTCATCAGGGCACAGAGCAGCCTGGAGGGCCTGAGGACGGCCTGGCTGCCCAGCCACACATGGATCTGATTCTTGGGCTGGGAGAGTGGGGCCAGGTACACTGGGCTTTCACAGGCCACCAGGGCTGGAGGGGAAAGGCTGAGGAAGGGGTTTTAAGGTTTAAAGACTACAGGGCACTCTGAGGAGCTAGGAGTAGTGGCCCACTCTGTGTGCCTTACACACACACACACACAAGTGCTTGTTGTTGGGTTAGGAAAGGAGCTAGGATGGGGACTCTTGGTCAGGTGGGCTCCATTCCTGGGCTGTAGACCTTATGGAGGTGGGAACTTGCAGGACTACAGGTGGGTACCTAGAGCCCAGGACCATACTCCACTTTGTCTTATCACCCCTGTATCCCGGCACCATACACATAACCCACCTATCTCAGGGGTGTTGGGAGGCTAGGACTCTGGATGGTCTCTGCCAACCGTGGGAAGGTCGCACAGCTGAGGAGGCAGGGGCTTGGGGTTAGGTCTCACTCACCCTCGACCTTGGATTCCAGCAGGACTTTGTCCTTGTCACTCAGTAAACAATGCCACATCCCCTCCTTAGGGTCCTGCACCGTCACCTGCTTCTCTTGTTTTGAGTCCTTTGCAGATTGGTTGTTTAGCTTCAAGCTCAGCACCAGCTCCGGGGAGCTGGGCCCCAGCACCTCACAAGTCAATTGGTTCTGAGACTTAGTCACTGTAGAGGGGCAAGAGCCTGAGGTTAGGAGCCTGGACCTGGCATGGAGGCATGCTCTAAGGGGAATTAGTAGAAAAATAAAAATGACATTTTATGTGGGCGTTTCTCTTTTAGGATCTCAGAGCACATTTTCATGCAGTTCTAACAGAGAAAACACAGCTTCTGAAGTCCAACAGTCTTGGATTAGAATCCCAACTCCATTGCTTACTATCTGTTTTACCCTGAGCAAATTACTTAGCAACCTGAGTCCCAGACAATTATTGATCAGCACGAGAGTTTTGACCTGCTCCATTTCTGACCTGGGGCAACCTGGTGGTCCCCAGCTCCCAGGAGGTCACCATATTGATGCCAAATTTAGTGCAGACACCCAATTGGCATAGCGCACTACAGCCCAGAACTCCTGGGCTCAAGCAATCCTCCAGCCTCAGCCTCTTGAGTAGCTGGGACTACAGGCACACGCCACCGTGCCCATCCCAGACAATTATTAAATACACAAATACTTGTAAAGCTCTTGAATGGGGCCTGGCATGTAGGAAGCATCAAATATTAGCCATTATTACTTGTAGACTTGTAATGATGATTAAGGAAATAGAGATGTGAAGAACTCAGTGTGGAGCCTGACATTGTCATCATCACTAGCACACTCAGAGCAGATTTGTCATCCTCATTAGTAGAAAGCAGACACACAGAGGTAAGGGGGCTTAGCCAGGGTCATAGGGGGTGGGACAGAGGCAGAACTGGGACCCTGGTTTTCAGCACATGTCCTTCGGGGATTCTCAGTGGAATATGCCCTAGGCTAGTTCACAGATGTCAGGGAAGGATACATGGATTCCAGTTTTAGTTCAAAACCAGCTCCCAAACCAGTGGGCCCTGCATCAGCTCCATCAGACAACCAGGGCTTAGGCATCCCTTTGAGAGCCTGTCCTGCCTTAGAAGAAGCCCTGAGTCAGGCCCCTCCACCTCCTGCTCCCGCCTTCCCCTTCTCAGCCGAGCTCCTCACTTCTCATCACCACGAGATTCACTTCCTGGTGCAACTGCCCCTTGCTGAGAATAAGGGTCAGTTTTCCAGAACCAGCATCCTCAGGCGAGGCCTTGGGCAGGCTGAAGTGGAGTGGGAGTGTCTCCTCCAGCTTGATCTGTCGTCCATGAACGTTCGTCACAGACACCTTCCTGTTCTTCAAGGAGAAGGTGATCCAGGTCTGAAAGGAGGAAGTCCCTCCGTCCTGCCACTTCAGCTCCCCGCTCAGGTCTTCATTTTCAAAGGTAAGTGGGAAGGAGAACTCCACAGGCTCCCCCACTTTTGTATAGAATGTGTTAGAGACCTTCTGGAAAGCTGGAGGTGGGAAGGGAGAGAACCTGGGTTAGAAGGAGATAGACCGATGAGGGTGTACAGGGAGGCATAGGCATGTGTGTGTGTGTGTGGGGGGGGGGGGGCAGCAAAAGGATGAAAGAGGACCAAGTGCATCCAAACACCCAGATTGCCATTTCAGGCCCTTAAATCCCCATCTACCTCTCCAGTCTTCTCTCTTAACTCTCTACTCCAACATGTTCCCACAGCAGTGCCTCCTCCCCCTGGAAGCCCTCATAGAATGACCCAGCCAGAGGGGGGCCTCTCCCTCTTCAGGATCCCCGGAGCACAGAGGGTATTTGGCCTGTATTACTTCAGCACTTAAGTTAGCACCCTTCACAAGATAAGAGCAGACACTTACATAGGCTTACTATGTGCCAGGGACTGTTCCAAGTACCTTCCATACTACATTAATTCTCACTATAACACAACAAGGTAGGTACTATCACAGTGAACATCACCCCTGTTTTACAGAAACCAAGCCACAGGGAGATTCAGTAACCTGCCCAAGGTCATCAGAGTCAGGATTTGAATCTGAGTCCAGATGCTACCCTACCTTCTGTCACACAAGTACCCCGAGGACAGGATCTGGGGTAAGACTTGCATTCTAGGCTCTCAGTTTCCCCCACCGTGCCTAGCTCAGGATTCTAAAGATACAATGTAGAATTTCCTCAGGGCTAGCTAGTGTCCCCAAGTAAGTGGATTTGCCAACTTGGTGGGAGTGGGGAGCTGAGGCAACAAAGAACATAGATGTCCTTGACACTCCTCCTTCGGAGTCTCCTCCAGGGGTCTGTGGGGACCCTCACCTCCTTACATCTGTGTCCCTTCCTTCCTCCATGTCCACCACCCTGAGGAAGAGAGGGCCCTGTGTATCCCTCAGGATAGACTTTAGCTTTAGGGGAGCCAGGCCTTGGCCTCCCTCTGTCCTCTAGTATCAGATCCAGGAGCAGAGCAGTGAGAGCAGAGGGAGGGTCTGTCAGTCTTTGAGGCAGGGGGAGTCTGCAGGGGAGAGGAGCAGCTCTTACCCAGCACCAAGATTTTTATGCTGAACACCAGTGTCTTCTTACTCTGGGAGACGATGCATGTCCAGGTGCCACTGTCCTGCAACTCTATGTGCGACAGTGAGAGGCTATTGCCCCCATCCCGCTCTTTATTCTTTGGATCTTTCCATGTTACTGAATGCTCACTGTTAGAGGGGCTCTCCAAGGTCATGGTCAGGCTCTGTCCAGGCAGCAGGCCGATGTAGGAGTTCGAACTGGCATTCACTGTGGAGGGAGCAGGCCACCTGTGTCACACACACACACTAACCCCAAGGAAAAGGATAGAAGCCAGGAAATAGAGAGTGTCTCTCCATTACCCCTGTCCTAACATCTCTCTTCTAGCCAATGCCCAGCTGTCTACTCCAGCCCTCGGCAGGGCTTCCCTCTCCCCTCCTTCTCCTCCCTCCAAACCCCTTCCTCTTGCTCCTGCCCTCTTCCTTCCCTCTCTTTAGGTCTTTTCCTCTCCCCCGATCTGACCCAAGATTTGAGGAGAGTTTGAGGAGATGTGGTGGCCAGTCTCATTTGGCTCTGGGCTACTGAAATAGCATCAGCTCAGGCCCTGGTTTGGGTGCAGGGATGGGAGTGGGGGGAGGGTGATTGGCTGGAGGTGTCCACACCCCAAGCCTGCCCTACTCACATCTGAACACCAGCAATTCCACTTCCGTTGCCTTGTTTTCCACTTCACAGAAATAAATCCCTGAGTCTGTTATCTCAAGGTTCTTGATGACCAAAGGAAAGGACCCTTCATTCCACAGGCCTTGTTTTGATTCAACACGACTGCCTATGTTGGAGGTACCTGGGAGTAGAAGTCATAGGGAGGAGGTTGGGGTATCCTGGATATGAGTATCCTAGAGATATGGCACCCCTGGTGAAAGTGGGTCCCACAACTCTTCTGATCTGAGTTGCTAATTTCCTGCAGAATCTGCCCTCGTCCTAGTCAGAGAACCTTGGACTGGCAAGGAGGCCCCATCGCAGTCATTTACCTTGGTCAGGACAATACCTCATTTACCCAAATAAAGTAACAGCGTATTTCGAGAACACCAGTTCCTACATGCCAAATACTTTACATGCACAATCTCAAATGATCTGCACAACAATTTTAAGAAATAGGTACTGTTTTGCCCTGGCCGGTTTTGCTCAGCGGTTAGAGCATCGGCCTGCAGTCCAGAGAGACCGGGGTTCGGTTCCCACTAAGGGCACGTACTTCGGTTGCAGTTTGTTCCAGGCCCTGGTTGGGTTGTGCGGGTGGCAGCCACTTGATGTGTCTCTCTCACATCGATGTTTCTCTCTCTCTCTCTCTCTTCCTCCCTCTCCCTCCCACTCTATCTGAACAAAAAATGGAAAAATGTCCTTGGGTGAGAATAAAAAAAAAAAGAAAAGAAATAGGTACTGTTTTGTTTATCTTGCAGTTAAGGAAACTGAGGTTCAGAGAAATTAAGTAGTTGCCCAAACAAATGTTGCCAGCAGGCACATAAACCAGTACAATTTCTTTGGAATGCAATTTATAATATCTACCAGAATTCCAAATGCATTTACAAGACTAAATGTCTACCAAGAAAGAATAGGTTAAACAAATTATAGTTCACTCATTCAGTGGGATGCTATAAAAGAAGAATGAGGGCCCAGCTGGTGTGGCTCAGTGGTTGAGTGTTGACCCATGCACCAAGAGGTCGCCAGTTCGATTCCCGGTCAGGGCATATGCCCAGGTTGTGGGCCAAATCCTCAGTGGGGGGCATGCAAGAGGTGGCTGATCGATGTTCTCTCTCGTCAATGTTTCTCTCTCTCTCTCTCCCTCTCCCTTCCTCTCTCTCTAAAATCAATTTAAAAATTATTTATTTATTTATTTTTAAATTTTTTTGTCTTCATTGATTGGATTTATTTATTTTTTATTTATTAATTTGTTTTTGTTACAGATGTTTCTCATTCCTCCCCCATTGACACCCTCCTCCCCTACCCCCCGCCCCATGCCCAGCTTTGTTGTCTATGTTCATTGGTCATGCATACATGCATGTAAGTTCTGTGGTTTATCTCTTCCCCCTAACCCTCCCTCCTCTGAGGCTTGTCAGTCTGTACCCCACCTCTATGTCTCTGGGTTAATTTTGTTCAGCAGTTTGTTTAGTTCATTATATTCTACAAATAAGTGAGATCATGGGATATTTGTCTTTCTCTCCTTGGCTTGTTTCGCTTAGCATAATACTCTCCAGGTCTTTTCATGCCATCTCAAAGGATAAGAGATCTTTCTTTCTTACAGCTGCATAGTATTCCATTGTGTACATGTACCACAGCTTTTTAATCCACTCTACTGATGGACACTTGGGTTGTTTCCAGATCTTAGCCATTGTAAATAGTGCTGCTAGGAACATAGTGGTACATATGTTCTTTCTGATTGGTGTTTCAGGTTTCTTAGGGTATATTCCTAACAGTGGGATCACTGGGTCAAATAGCAGTTCAATTTTTAACTTTTTTGAGGTAACACCACAGTGTTTTCCATAGTGGCTGCACCAGTCTACATTCCCACCAGCATGCTTTCATTGATTTTAGAGAGAAAGGAAGGGAGAGGGAGAGAGAGATAGAAACATTGATGAGAGAGAACATTGATTGGCTGCCTCCTGTATGCCCCCCAGTGGGGATCAGGCCCACAACCTGGGCATGTGTTCTACCCAGAATGAACTGGCGACCTGTTGGTGCATGGGTCGATGATCAACCACTGAGTCACACTGGCCGGACAGGAAATTTTTTTTTTTTATTCCTCACCTGAGGATACTTTTCTACTTATTATCAGATAGAGTGAGAGGGAGGGAGAGAGAGAGAGAGACAGAGAGAAACATCAATGTGATAGAGCCACATTGACTGATTGCCTCCCACACAACCTGACCAGGGCCAGGGACGAACCGCAACTGAGGTATGTGCCCTTGACTGCAACTGACCCTGGGACTCATTGGTCCACAAGCCAACGCTCTAACCACTGAGACAAACCAGTCAGGGCAGAAAAAAATTTTTTTATCCTCACCTAAGGACATTTTTCCATTTTTTGTTCAGATAGAGTGGGAGGGAGAGAGAGAAGAGAAAGAGAGAGAAACATCGACGTGAAAGGGACACATTGAGTGGCTGCCACCCACACAATCCATCCAGGGCCGGGGACAAACCGCAACCGAGGCACATGCCCTTAGCGGGAACCGAACCCGGGTCTCTCTGGACCGCAGGCTGACACTCTAACCGCTGAGCCAAATTGGCCAGGGTGAAAAAAAAACAACTTTTTAATAAAAAGAAGAATGAGGAAGCTCTTCATATACTGAGATGGAATAATAGGTAAGAAACATCATTAATTGAATAAAGCAAGATATTAAACGGGCTACCATTTGTTTAAAAAGGAGTGGGAAACTTATCTATTTGTCTATTATCTATGTATCTGTTTATCTATCTGCCTAGTATATGAACAAATATTTCTAGAATTAAACATAAGAAAATGGTAATTTTGGTTACCCTTGTAAGACAAGAAGTGAATACCCTTGAGACAGGCGTGGGAGGGAGGCTTTTCACTATATAACCCTTTTGTACCTTTTCGTAATTTTTATTAATTCTCACCTGAAGACATGCTTAGAGAGAGGAAGGGAGAGAGAGAGAGAAACATCAACTGGTTGCCTTCAATACGTGTCCTGACCAACCAGGAATCGAACCTACAACCCAGGTATGTGCCCTGACTGGGAATCGAACATGCGTGTAACCTTTTCATGTGCAGGACAACATTCAACCAACTGAGCCACTCTGGCTGGCCCCTTTTCTACCTTTTGCATTTTGACTCCAGTAAGTAGTGGAGTGGAATTAAAATTCAGGCCTGTTAGATACTGTATGCAGTACTGTTTCTGAAAAGTTCCTCAGGCATGGACATGCAGTCTCCTTCAGTCTTCTCTTTCAGTATCTTAACTACCATCACCAAGAGGAAGTTCTTCTTGTTAGCTAACCATTTTCCAGGCGCTCCAGAATTCCTGTGAAGAAGGGCTTTAGAAGCTAAATTTACATGGCAAACACTTGGTTTTTTACTTTGAAAGCAGTGAGGAAACCAACTGGGTGTGGAGGTTTCTGTCTGGGCTGTGATGCTAGAGCTAAATGTCAAGCAGAAGCTTCTAGGCTTAGTCCAATGGACTAGGGAGTGAGTGACAAGTGCAGAACATTGCTTTGGAAGTCACTGCTGCAACAGGTGGAAGAGAAATCAAAGTAGAAGAGACTAATTCGTAACAGAATTGTAGTAACAGAATATGGTCTTGGAGAATGATGGTGGCATTCCCATGGGAACAAAGAAGAGGAAACAAAAATACTTCCAAAGGAAGGAATGGCCATAGTTGGTGATGGATAGGAAATCGGGGATTGAAATGGAAAAAAATTTAACTCTGTGGTTCAGAAATGGGGAGAATCAGAAGAATGATACTTACTGCCTTTGTCAGAGATCAGGAAGTTGGGAAAGGGAGCTGCTCTGCAGGAAACTCAAATCATAGAAAGAAAACGAAGCACTGACACAAAAGACAAGAATTTTTAGAAAGAATCACATTGTTTTAATCTCACAGGTGATCAAAGAAATGCAAATTTGCCCAGCAGGTGTGGCTCAGTAGTTGAGCTTCGACCCATGCACCAAGAGGTTGCCGGTTTAATTTTGGGTCAGGGCACATGCCCAGGTTGTGGGCCTGGTCCCCATTGGGCGCCATGCAGGAGGTGGCCAATCGATGTCTCTTTCTCATATCTATGTTTCTATATCTCTCTCCTTCTCCCTTCCTCTCTCTTTAAAATCAATAAAGAAAAATAAATTAAAAAAAAAAAGGAAATGTAAATTAGCCCTGGCTGGCTTGGCGCAGCAGTAGAGCATCAGCTGGTGGACCAATGAGTCTCAGTTTCGATTCTGGTCAAGGGCACATACCTTGGTTGCGATTTTGGTTCCTCTCTGGCCCTGGTTGGAGTTATGCGGGAGGCAGTCAGTCGATGTGTCTCTCTCACATTGATGATGTCACTCTGTCTGAACATAAGTGGAAAAATATCCCTAGGTGAGGATTTAAAAAAAAAAGCACCCTAGCCGGTTTGGTTGAGTGGTTAGAGCCTCGGCCTGCAGACCAAGGAGTCCCAGGTTTGATTCTGGCCAAGGGCAGTACCTCAGTTGCAGTTAGTCCCTGGCCCCGGTTGGGGTCCTATGGGTGACAACCAGTCGATGTGTCTACATCACGTCGATGTTTCTCTCTCTCTCTCTCTCCCTCCCACTCTGTCTGAGGATAAATGTAAAAATGTCCTCGGGTGAGGATTTAAAAAAAAAATAAAAGCAAATCAAAGTAACAATGACATATATTTTCAACTGTCAAATTAGCCCACAAAAAAAAAGAAAGAAAGGAAATTTAAATAATACTATTCAGTGCCCTGGCCCCTGTGGCTCAGAGGTAGAGCATTGTCCCATAGACCAAGGGGTCTCAGGTTTGATTCCCAGTCAAGTGAATGTACCTGGGTTGCAAGTTTGATCTAGTCGGGGTCCTGGTCCCGTGGAAGGCAATCAAATGATGTCTCTCTCTCTCTTTCTCATCAATGTTTCTGTTTCTCTGTTTCTCTCTCTCTCTCTCTCTCTCTCTCTGTTTCTCTCTCTCTCTCCCTCTCCCTTCCTCTCTTCCTCCTTCCCCACTCTCCTCTCTCCCTCCCTTCCATTCTCTCTCTAAAAAAAAAAAAAAAGCAATTAAAAAAATATCCTCTAGGGAGGATTAACAAAACAAACAAAAAATTTAAATATTACTACTCAGTGCTGGCACATTCATTAGACTTACTGCA